ACTTTTTTATACAAAATATAATTCATTCAAAAGCGAAAACCACAACAATCATTTTTTTTTTTAATTTCATACAGAACTCGGGAAAATGCAAGAAATAGCATTAAATTTTCATCAAAATTTTATATCTTAGGTTTACAGTTTTGTAGCCTATTTAATTTTATTATAATAAAGGCAAGTTCGAAGTCCCTCAAAATTTGCGTTGATTTTTCCGATTTTTTTGCCGCGAGTGTTGCACATTTTCTTCCATAAAAAAAATAGATTTTGTTCACGCGTTATATGGAAGAAAATGCGCAACACCCTCGACAAAAAAAAAAAATCGCAAAAATCAACGGGAATTTTTAGGGACTTGAAATTTGCACTTTATTATACTAAAAATTACATTGTCAAAATTTTTCGAAGAAATGGAGTTGGAAATCTTTAAATTTTGATGAAAATTTTTTGGCATTTCTTGCATTTTCCCGAGCTCTGTATGAAATTAAAAAATTAATTCTTGTGGTATTTGTGAATGAAATATATTTTTACAAAAATATAAGAAAAATTTAGTATAGAAAGTAAGTAAATAAAATCATCAAAACCTCGGGGTATTTATATTTTTGACGCTGACTGTATTTTGCTTATAGAAGTGAGGGCGCATATTTTTACGCTTATTTTTTACATAGAAATCCGAGCCCTATTAATAAACATCTGACGTATATATTTTAATCTGAAAAATTGGTGTCTACACGTCAGTAAAATAGGGAAATTTCGGTCACGCCAATAGAAGAGGGTTAACGTAGTCGCCAAGTTGAAAATGCGCTTCCCTAGAAGTGATGATTTTTCGAGCAAAATCGTCGTCCACTAAATTTGCATTAATTCCCAACTTTGTTCAAGCGAAAAGCAATTCATTTCATTCCGCGGAGATTCCTTTCATACTTGACAGAAAGTCAGTAAGATCCCCTTCAAATATCTTAATATGTTTTACCGCAGTTTCAAAGCTTCGTTTCGCTCCCAGCAGCCTCGCTCGACTCCGTTTCTCTCCATTTTCTGAATGCACTTAGCCTTAAGTTTATTTATTTAATAGAAAACGACTTAAATACTTATCCATCAGTTAGGGATGTAATCCAGCTGTAGAGATGATATAAAGAAGTAAGAGGGAACTGGGACGATATGTTTGATTCCCTGCTGATGAATACAAGGATCTGTACATACATACATGTGTTGCATCATTATCCTGATTCATACTGAAAAGTGTTCTTGCATTCCAAAAGCGTGTATAAATAAAATTTGAAATATTTACAGTCGATTTTACCAACAATTTAAATGGAAAATTATTTTTTATTTTCTATAAATTTTCATATAAATTCAAAGAGTTAAAATTATTTTTCACTTAAATTGCTTTCGTGAAATTTGATGTTATTCCATCTGCGATTTTATTAAATTTCCATCGAAATCAGTATACATACATATATACAAATGAAAGACTATTGTATCTGTGGCTCTTTGAAATGGTTAAAGTATCTTTAAATAGCACTTTAACGGTTGAGCAAATAACCAATTTTGTGCTCGTGAAAGTACTTGTCGATTCTACGATGCATGTAAGGCTAGGAAGAATGCCATAATATTAATTCGACCAAATGGTTTTTCAAACCAAATACTTTAGCTTGTTAAGGAGTTGGGTTTGTTTTGAGCACTCTTTCATACACATATTTCATAAATTTTAACATTTGTTAATGTGCGGAGGCATTTCACAAATGTTTAGTGGTTTTAATTTAGTAATTTAAGTGGAAGTTTCTTTACGAAAAAATTGCCTTCTAGCGGGTCCAAGCTGCGGTAATGCTTTGTTGTAAAGTTAACAGAAAACATTTTCTTTATTTATAATTTATTACTGTACTTTAATTTTATTGCTACGTACACAAAAAAATATTCTATATTTACAAACTGCTGCCTTATACTCCATTCATTGCACCCAAAAAGCTTTTTAACACCCCAAATAGCTGTCACTTTAGTTTTAATATTGAAATGGCAAAAAAAAGAGAAAATGTCACCAAGGCAAATAAGTGCCCAAGTCAATAAAATTGTCCTCTAATGCACAGCTGGACAACAATGCAAATTGAAGGTTATTTGACTTAAATACCAGCACGTACATACATTTCATTTCATTCAGCATTTATTTACTATTCTTCTACGTATTTTTATTCTTTGCAGATTCAAATTTCGTGCTTGGCAATGCGCAGGCAAATGGCAATCCAATTGTTTATTGTTCGGATGGCTTCGTGGACTTGACAGGATATTCGCGAGCGCAAATAATGCAAAAGGGTGAGTGAGTGGAAGGGCAGTGCATAGTAAATAAAAATTGGGGACGAAAAAAAAACTTTCAACAAAGTGAACAAATACAATGCTACACTGGTGAAATTACTAGCTTCGCACTATAAGGTGAAATTTTTTGTTAGGTGTAAGGGCTTATCCTTTTTCTTTAGGTAATTTTTTCAAGAGAAAATTCACATATAAATAAATATATGTATGTAGATGAAAGCTAAGCGGGACAATTGATAATGTGCGAAAAATGTAAAGGATTCCAATAAAATCGATTTTAAAAACTCGATCTGTCTAGGCATCATAAAAACCAAAAACAAATATATATATATATATAAATACATATGTAGTTCGTATATATATTTTATAAAGTACCCTATTTTCGGCTTTATTAAATCAGGTGGAAGGGGCTGCTTATGGTCTTCGATCGGGCCCATTGTGATTCCACACAGAATCTATAAACCAACTTGCCCTACAAACCTACATATGTAATATGCATGTATATTAAGGTGGTCGAAAAATTCCGGTGAAAAAGTAAAGTGGGAACTTTAATGCTCTCACCCCTTAGAATTGTTTTAAGCCGAAAAAATATACCGCTATTTTATTTGACATTAAAAAATATTTAGAGGTCGCTCAAGCGTTAAAAGTTTCCATGTATTTTATATGTAAAAAAAAAAATACAAATTCTTCAAAATAAATATTTTTCGATTTAAAACTTTGTTCCTCTTCAGAAAATTCCAAATAATAATACCAAATTGTTTCTGTGACCATTTTTTTCTTACTAACTATATGTTATAGGTCCCCCAAACCCCCTGAAAATGCAATGGGGGAACAAAAAAAGTCTTAAGTATTAAAAAATCCGATCGAAAAATGTTAATTTTCAAGAATTCTATACCATTTCTAGGAAAAATTGTTTTTTCCTATATAATATATATATGGAAATTTTGAGCGCTTTGAGGGACCTCTTAATATTTGTTGATTTCTAAATTTCTTTTTTTTTTTGGACCGCCCTAATGTAGATATAGGTTTTATCACTCATGGCCCAAAGTGCACAGCCTTATGAGTACAGTATTATCCTCGCTTTCGCAACTCCTGTAACAGACACAAACCGGCATTTAGGGTTCTTCATTCACTGCAGCCTTAATTTCTCACTCGATTTAATTATTATTTTTTAAATCAAAGCTTACAAAATTTCCAAGGGCCCAGTTGAGCCCGATTCTTGAGTTTTTATTTGATGGAATTAGATTTTTTAGTGCAAAGTACAGCAAAAGTAGCAATTTTGCAAGAAATCTAGTCCAGTTAATAATTGTTAAATAATAAAAAAATGTAAAAAAAAAAAATTTAATTTTTAATTTAATTTTAAAAATTTATTCCAGCAGTAGTAGCATTGTTAACCTACATACATACATACTTAAGTATGTACTTTTATACGCTGTCATGATTCTATATATTTTAAGCCTATTTCAAAATGCAGATATTTTTCAATTCATTGTTATTTTATTCCTTTTCTTTATTTTCAAATCCTTGCAACATCACCGTTCCTTTGAAACCGAAACACTAAAAACTTCAATCAAATTTCGTCAATCAAAAACAACAATTGTCCAAAAACAATAAAAATTTGTATCCGCTGAAATGCCAACCATAACATGGCAAATGATAACATCCAAAAACAACAATAATGGACTTTACAACAAATAACAAATTCGATGCAATAAAATGAACGCTAATAATTGTTGTCGTCGTTGAGGGACATTGGCACGTTGTTTGTACATATTGTTGTTATTGTGCCGCTTTTGTTCGCTTGCTGACAACATTTGTTGCCACTGTCGTGCTGCATTGTGTCAACAGGATGTTCGTGTCATTTCCTGTACGGTCCGGAAACAAAAGATGAGCATAAACAGCAAATTGAGAAAAGTCTGATGAATAAGACCGAATTGAAATTGGAAGTTATTTTTTATAAAAAAGATGGTAAGTACTTTTGATAAATAAATATGTTTGTACATACATAAGTAATAGTTACTGAGTGCTTGGTAAAAATGTAATTTTTAATTAAAAGAAAAAGAGTTTGTATGAGATGGCGGTATTTAGTTAAGTTAGGTTGAATTATTTGAAATTGAGAGGTTTAGAACAAATTCATGTTTTGTGAGAAAAGGGACGAAGTAGGCATGGTGACGTTCATGCAGCCAGTTATTTATGAAGACTAGGGTCAATACTAACAATTTTGAACTACTGTAGAAGAAAAATATTGCCGCCCTTTAAGTTTAAACCTGCCTAAACTAAATCTGTTTAAACTACCTCAAAAGAAATATTACAACTGGGAGTGACCGAGGTTTGGATTAAGATATAAATTGAGATTTAGAAATAACTAAATTAAGATTAAGATTACGATTAAGATTATTAAGACTGAGATTATGAGTAAGATTCAGATTACAATTAGGATTATCAAGATTTAGATTAAGATTTAGATTAAGATTAAGTTCAAGATTAAGATTAAAATTCGGATTGTGATTACCATTAGGATTTTTAAAAAATTAAGATTAAATAAAAATTAAGCTCAAGATTAAGATTGCGATAAAATTAAAATTAAGCTTAAGATTAAGACTAAGATTGAGATTAAAATTAAGATTAAGATTAAAATAAAGATTAAAATTAAACTAAAATTAAAATAAAGGTAAAGATCAAGATTAAGACTAAGATTAAGATTACGATTACGATTAAGATTAAACAATATTTGAAGCCTTTATAGAATGTATTAGAGATAGTCCTTGGTAATCCAAGTTGAGGCATTTGCAATCATCATTGACAATAACTACATGGTGGAAAATAAAAAGGAATGTTTAAGTTCACCTGCCAGTGGTGTAAGCCAATCTACGCTCAATTCAGATGATTCTTTCTTTTTTTGGCCTCAAAAAAGTATGTAAATTTTATAAACAGGTGTGAGAATTAGGTACTGATGAAATTTTTTGATTTCTAAGCATCTGTGTACGGTTTGCCAAAGGATAAGGCGATTAAATTCCGTGCATAAACTGCATAGGTTAGAAATTAAACATAAGACAATTTCATCTCATTTTGTCCGGAGCAGTACAGGAATTTTTCGTAACGACTTCTTAATAGTTCAGGATTATTTCAGGATCATTTCGTGACTAGTTTGAAATCAATCAAAAAACAAATGATCCCAGAATTTCCTGAAGTACTTCTGAAAAAGTCGTGAAAGTATCCGAAATGATCTGGAACAAGCCTTGAAATCATCCACAAATATTCCCTTATTAGTCCCAAAATGATCCAGAATTACTGCCGAAACCTTTTTAAAATAGTCGCGAACGAGTCTCGAAATACTGCTTAGCCTGTCCCATAGTGTGCCCAAACTAGTTGCGTAATGTTTTTAAAATGGCCTTGAACTAGTCACAAATTGGCATAGAACAAGTCGCAAAATGGTTCCCACTAGTCCTGAAACTGTCATGAAAAGGTTCCAAAATGTTCCCGAAATGATACCGTACTAGTGACAAAATGGTCCTAAATAGCCCTGAACTAGTACAGAAGTGTTTATTTGTACACTGTGTTCTGCTGTGTTAACGCAACTTTTAACCAAAGCGGGAGCCTTTTGCAAGTCAAAGTATTCCTCCAACAAAACTATTTTTCCTGAATTTTTCATCTCAAAAGTTTTAAAATACTGTTAAATTTATTTCGCTGGCTGCCCCTGTTCTCGAAAAATTAGGTAAAGTAAATTTTTCACACGAGTAAAGTTATATCGACCCCTAATCACAAAAAACGCAAGTACAAATTTTTTCGAAATTTAAATTTTGATGTACATAGAAATACTGCTAGAGCGTTGATGTGCATTTCTGCATAAAAAAAAATTTAGAAAAAAATCGTACGTCTTTTTGATGGCAAGGGCTGGATATATGTATTTATCTTCCTACGCCATTATGTAAAAATTTCTTCGCAACCCTAAAATAATACAATATACTGTAACTGCAAAAACCAAACTATTTTCGTCACCCACAAATAGGTGGCCAACATCTGTTGAGTATTTTCAAAAACTTACTTTACACCTAAAACTTTTGCAATAAAATTTAATATACTCATACCAACCGCAAATTAGTAAAACTTTTACGCAACAAAAAAGTCATAATTTATAAACGTAAAAAGGCAAATACTTATACTAACATATCAGTGGTCAAAAGCAATAACCGCCTAAGTCGAAAATCATGAATTCGAGAAAAAACGTTTTAAACATTTGGATTGAAATGTTAACCTTATGCGGAAACCAAAATATGTTCGTCTATATAACTTTCTAAATAGCCTAGCTGGCGAGATGGCGATTTCACATACACACGGAATAGTAGTTACAGAATACGATAGCATATAGTTATAACTCAATTATTTCTGAAGTCGACTTAGGCGGTTATTGCTTATGACCACAGATATATAATACACATACACTCACATGCATACATATGCACATCCTGTTGTATGTGCCCAACGGAAAGCTTACATTTCTGTGTACAAAATAAATGAAATATGACAATAGCAGGAAGAATTACAAACAAAGTACAACTGAGACAACAGTAAGCTGACAAAAAGAGCAACAAATAATGAAAAAAAAAACGTTGTTGTCTACGACCACAAGTACACTCAAACGTTCGAGTGTCTGTTTAGTGTCCCAGCAGCAGTTGAAGAGGCACAGAGGAATATAGTATATTTATATATAAGTAGATATCTAGCTGCTAGGTAGGACAAATTTTTTATACACATATTTGTAGCTATGTATATGTATATGTGTGCATTTTCATGTAGGTGTCATTGACAAATCGCATATTGAACAATTTGTCACCAACTCCCAGTGGATAGCCACAATATGTACTCACTTTATGCAATCGCTGGGGGAACATGTATGTATGTAGTGTGAACTTAAGCTCTACCCAGAATTACTGCGGACGACGGTAAAGCGGTCGGCGGTAAGTGAACAGCTGAACAGTTGCCGCAGTGAAATCCGTCAGAGTAAACACAATTGCGGCGCATGACAGCTTCCTTCAGTTGTCATTTTGTTTTGAAAATTATCTTTAAAATTAAATAAGTATTTTTTCGGTACGTGCGTGCAATATAAATAAATTGTACGATGGCACATTGATATTAACAATATATAATTGATGGTATTTTGGGAGGGAGTTTCTATTATTTTTGATGGTTCTTATTCTTTTCAGACGCTTCTAAATAGTATATTTTTGGAGTTTTAAAATATGTAATAATTATGATTAGAAGGTCGTGAGCTGGATCGATTTGAAAATACCTCCAAAAATGTAGTTTTTTATGAATAACAATAGTTTTTTTAAAGCATTTTTAAAAAAAAAAAAAAATCACTCGGACGAAAAAACAGTTTAAGCTTAAAAAATCTGCATAAAATTAGATATTAAAAAATTATTAAATTTCAACGGGATGATAATAATGGGGTTTTTCATGCTATTTAACTATTTTTCAAAGACTGGTTTAAGAAAAACTTAAATAACAAGACCTAAACTATACCGATTTAGACTTATGAGGCATCAGTGGAAAGGAATTTTCTCACCCTTTTTATTTATTTGCAAAAAAACCCATTTTTTTTTTAATATCAACACATCTTAATTAATTTTTTCTTAAACCAATCCCTGAACAAAATTCTAAAACCGCATAAAAAATCTCATTATTATGATTCTGTCGAATTTTTTTTTGAGTTTAAACTGTTTTGCCATCTGAGGTTTTTTTTTCGAAAAAAAAACTTTAGAGAACTTTTTTATTCATAAAAAACTGAAGGAGATTCAAATCGGGTAATATTTTTACGAAATATTGAACAAACAAATCGTACTTCGGGAAGATTTTTTTCTTTCACATCACAAGCTTCTAACCACTTATTTCTAATAAACGAGGTAATTTGAAAAATTTCACTCAGAAATCGTCGCAAAAGATTACAAGATTACTACAGCTTTCAATTTATTTTTCGTTTTAAAATATGTTGTTTGAAATTTTTTCAAAGGCAGTTGAAAAATATATTTTTTTTTTGTAGCTGGTAGTTTGATTTTGATAGAAATGTCATAATGCCAGCAGAAGTGAAATGGCTAACGTGGCGGCCAAAATCATTGAGTGAAACTACCTTGTGGTTTGTATCATGCGTGCGTGTGTGTAGATTTTCTGGAAACAAAAATGTATGAAAACTTTTCCAAACTTCCGAAAATAATAAAAATTACTACAATCAACACTCAATCAATATTGTGCCGTCCCCGCTGGGCCATTCCATATGCCTTTGTGAGTTTTAATTTTGACAGCGGTTAACCGACGAACGCTTTACCGTCGTCCGCTGCAATTCTGGGTACACCTTTACTTAATACAGCGTTTCGTTCGACTTCGCTGTTCGCTAAGTGGACCGATTGTTGAATTTTTGTAGTCATTTCTGCAACCACACATATGTACGACATACATATTTCGTTTGCCTCTCTTGTGTATGTGTGTTCGAGCAGCCGAAGTTAGCGTTGGACACGTGCTAGCTCGTGCTTATTGCCAATCTTTCTGCAAACAGAGATCGTGGCGTATGCGTAACTTTTGGCCATTTTCGCACAGTTGCACTTGTACATACTATGTATGTACAAATGTATATAAATTGACGTTGACACGTATCCACAATGGTAGCTGAATAAGAAAAACAAAGAAACATACGCACATTAAGTTTGAGCAAAAAATTGCTGTATTTGTAATATTTGACTTCGCTTGGCTTTAGCTTCTCAAATTAACAAATGGAAATGTGCGCGCCTATGGGTACAAAATATCAGTCTGTTAGGTGGGCACGATTGAGAATTAGATTGATATTTGCTATTTTTCTTCTTTTTTTTATCTCGCTTCACTGGCTGTTACATATGTATGTATGTATGTACATATGTAATTCCCAAGCATTTCTCACATTTGCCAGCAAGAAATCCACAATCAACAAGTGTTTGCGG